GTTTGTCACTAAAATGAAGAGCAGCTTCTGGTTGCAAAAGTTTAAGGCTATATTTTCATTTGTACTTTATCAAATTTATTTTTACAGGTTTTTTAATTTGAAACATTACATTAATCGTTTTTAATTTATTTATTTTATGCCCACAATTTTATTTATTGAATTGTCTATTTTTGTTATTGTGTATGTTAAAAATATATATATTTGTGTTGATAAGCCTGAGTGGTCTGTTGACTGACCTTTGTATTTGTTCAAATAATTGTTATGGGCAGGTTACAATATAAAAATGTTTGTCATAATCATGTCTTGTGATTATTTGACAGGAGTTTTACTTTTAAACTGTAAGTGTATTTAATTTATTTATGATAGTTTAGTTACGATGTAAATACAATAAAATTAAACGAAGATTTAGAATAATTATCATTTTGATCCATTCGTTGGTAATGTCTGACTGGGCCTCGTGCCACTTTACAAATTGGGCCCCGAGGTCAAAAAGGTTAAGAAMYCCTGCTTTAAAGTAAAGAAAAACATTTATTTCCAGATTTTTTATCTACCTTTTCATAAAAAGTTCAGGCTCAGAGTCTCTTCTTCATAACACAGCAGCTAACACAGCTGCACCCGTCCCTCTTCTGCTGTTTGAAGCAGTGAGCTACTCTTCCACTCTTCAGCAGGTKCTCGGCCGTCACGGTACGATGCAGGTGGCCTTCCGGAGGGTCAGGTAGCCTGTGACAACATCTGTGGGGAGGAGACGGATGTAGGAGAACTCCTCGGAGGAGGCGAACCGCAGCTTGGTTTGTGGATCGGTGTAGTTTGCCTAACGAGACACACAGGATAACATTCACTGTTTGATGTGTGCAAAAACTAAATGAATGAAAGCTGACTGATCAACTCACAGGAAGTCCAGAGATGTCCGAGTATTTCTTTGCAGGCTTTAAGGAAGGAGGAGCATCAATGTTGTAGTCTGTGAAGAGAAATAAGTTATGCTGACATAAATGACACTGCAAAGAACAAAGTGACAATTTCAAAACCTATTTGTGCAAAACTAGTGCTTTTTTTATTTATTTATTTTGAAAGAWAAGCTAAAACAATAAAAACTCACAGTTCGGATCATTTAGCTTCCAGGGTAAAGTCCGCTCCAAAGCCAGGATCTGTTTGAGATTCTTCCAGGTCCGGTTCTTCTTGCCTGCTGCTGCTCCGCCGATCCCCGAGTGCTGCCGAGATGAAGGGAAGAGACAAAAGGAGAGCGGCTGCTGAGGGAGACGCACCAACCAGAGGTAAAGGTAAATTCAGATTCTCACCATAAACACGCGGTCTTTAAAAGGTGGAGGCTTCGCTGTGGACTCTAAGGATGTTGGGCCGACATCTGCTGAACCAACGACCTTCATCTCCGCTACGGTTTCCACTGCTGCCATCTGAAAACAAGTCCAATACATTTGATTTACACTTTTAAATACGATGGATAAATATTGAACAGTGTATTTATAGCTAACCAGAACTGTCTAGATGGGAAATAAAAAMCACATTAAACATTCATTAGTATTCATGTGTTCACCAACAACCTGACTACTCTGACATAAAAAAGCCAGGTGGTTATATTCATTTGAGTTAATACTTACCCACATTTGCCGCAATAATGTTCACCTAACAGTAAAATACATATAACTTAAGCCGAATAAATAAATAGAGAAACTGCATTTCCTGTAAAAATACTAGTGTGAATCTTCTTGCTGAAAACTTAAGCTGAACGCTGCTGAAACTGAGCTAAAAATATTTAATAGCGAAAGTGTTAATGCGTTAAATAGTTGAAAGAAGCACTAAAAGCCTAGCTTTGCAGAAAAACAGTAAAAATGAGCAAATATAGATGAAAAAGCAAAAAAGACCGGTAGCTAAAAGCTAAAATAGCTGAATATTGCAGAAAACATCTGTAAGAAGCAAATAGCACAAATTCACAAAACAACCACAAACAGTTGAAAACGGCAAAAGAAGCAGATCTATTGTTAAAATAGCAAAAAAAGAACTAAARTTTGCATAAAATAAGATAAATGTAGCAGCCACAAGTTGACTAGCACCCAAATTATAATAGCTATAATAGCTGTAATAGCTACAAAATCTGTGTATTTAGCTTAAAAAGCTAACTTTAGCTAATAGCAGAAATTTAGCTAACATTGCAGCAAATAGCTGAAAATAGCAGAAGGCAACTGTAAGGAGAATTAGCACAATTTAGCAGAAAAAAAAGCACAAAAAATTAGAAAAACACAGAAGCATAACAGAAAGAAGCTGAATTTTAGCTAAAATATTGGAAAAATCTAAAATGGCAAAAAACAAGTAGCTAAAATTAGCACAAGAAAGTGTAAAAGAGCAAAACCAGAACAAAATGTCAGGTTCTGAAAAGATTTAAAAACATTTTATAGGATTATTATGGGTGTTTAAAACAGCTCCATTCCTTTTCAATGGCAAAAAAGTTAAATGGCTGAAAAAGTAAAAAATAGTTGAAATGCAAAAAGTCATAGCAGGATACCATATAACTTTTATTTATAAATCACTTTAAACAGCACAAGGCCAACCAAAGTGCTGTAGACAGACACAACGGGACAAAGATAGTTGAAATTAGTCAAAATATACAAAACAAATGAGCTGAACGTTTTGACTTGTAAATTGTTGAAAAAGCACAAAAATTGTGGAACAATTTAGATGCCAAAAAACGTACAGAAGAAAAATTACAAATGATTTCAACGGCAGTATTTCGGTGTTGTGGCTCACCTGTGCTGTAGCTGCTGGTGCCGCTGCCAGCGGGCCTTTCTTCTTCTTGCTGCCGCCGCTGCTGCTGCTTCCGGCGGCCAGCGGAGCGCTTGAAGCCGCCGGACTCCCCGGACGTTTCTTCACCCGGAGACCMGCAGGGCTGCCGGCGGCGGGAGGTTGTGTCCGTACGGTTATAGGTATCTGAGAGGCCATTTAAACCACACCGCATCAAAAATATCAGCTGCTTCTATTAGCGTTTGCTCACCCGTAAACAATCAATAACCCGGAAGTGAAAAGAACTCACATCCGGTAAAACGCGTCATAATACATTTTTGTTTTTGGTTTTTTAAAATGCTGAATTCGTTTAAAAATCCAATAAAATGTGGCTGAAATTTACAGTAAAAATAAAAATATAAAAACTACTTATTATCTATTACGTCACTGTACACTACAGAAACGCATGATACAAATCAGACCCCCCAAATAATAAAGGAAAAAACACACTGCACTGAATTAAAAAAAGAAAAGAAAAGAAAAGAAAAAACACTAAAAGGATTAACCAGTACAGACAAACACAATATGTTTATTAGAGTCGTGTGTATCATTGGGTTGTAAAACACAGAACAAAACTATTCACAGCATGCTAAGTAATTTCTTAGGAATGCACTTTTATTTAGTTCAGTTAAAGCACAAAATAAATAAATAAGTAAATAAATTTCTCTCTGTACTACCATTTTCATGAAATAAATATAGATGAAACCTTTTTAATGGGCTCGTGCTGCCATCTAGTGTTTGTGTGAAGTTTTGCAGAAAAATGAAGATAGACTGGTAATCACTGCTTTGTTTACTCGTCACACAAGCTGCAATCTTTTCCAGATAGTTCACAGCCAGCAACTGTTCAGTGACCTCACTGCTGTGATAAAAAAAAATCTTATTTAGTGTTTTTAATCATTTTAAGGTTTTTTAATCTAAAAAATACGCTGACTAAATGTGACAAAGGTCCAGATCTGGCCTGATAAGACAAGATATGATCGGAGTCTTAATGTCTGAACTTGCTAAACTTTTACAATTAAACTTTTACTTCTAAGTGGCCCTGAAAGTTCTTAGTAAAAATAGATTACTTCAAAACCAGCATAAGTAGCCTAATGTCTTCTAGTTATAAGTCTTTGAGATTAGGTTTGTTCAGCAGAAGGTGCTCTGTAAGGTCACGTCTGCAGGTAATTATTATGCATCAGTGTGATTTGAAATGCATGTTAGCATGATATGTTTTTAACATCACAATAAACAGATTAAGAAATGTAATCCAAATGAGGCAGTTCAAGTCAGTTACTCTGTAACTCCATTGTAAAATCTAAATAAATGCACAATGGTATATAGAAAAATACGCCTGAGTTAATGAGGAATGGCTCAGCAGCATGAACTGWTGGAACATTATGATGCTTTTATTAACATTTGTTTTGCTATTTTAGGTTGAATTCAATTTAATTGTTTTCTTTAAAAAGTGGTTGCAAGTTGCAGTACTCTTACGCAAGACTAAAAAGCCCATGAAGACCCTGGGGCAATAGGTTGGGCAATTGTTGTTATACCACAAGATACAAGAAATTGCATGATAACCCTTAAGGCAAGATGTTGAAAGGTAATTATTGGAAAAAAACTGGAGAATTTATATTGTGTTGTTTCGGAAAAATACTGAGACATTTCCACAGTTTATAAGGTTCAAATAAACAACCTCTGAACATCATTCGTTTGTACAGTCAGTGCATTTAATGCATTTTCCTTATTGGAAGGCTAAAAGKGCTCCAAATTAAAATTAGAAGAATCCTAGAATGTAGTTAAAACAAGCRTTAACAATAACAAAATGATTTCAATTGTTAATCGCAAGATTCCATTGAAATTTTTAATGGGCGTGGCCAAATGGCTCCACAGCGCCACCTAAAGTGAGATAGAGGAACTGGTAAGTCCTAGAGAGCTTAAATTTGGAGCATTGGTAGATCTCCCCAAATCAAGAAAAAAAGTCTCTTGGAGGTATGCCCTAAAATCAACAGGAAGTCTGCCATTTTGGGTCAAAGTGTAAGAAAAATTCGTATTCAATAAAGTTAAGTCGATATTAAAACCACCGTTGTTAAATAAAATGATTTGTAGAAGGAATCAAACCATACAACACCAGAATTCTGGATCTGAGTGAGGTTTATTGTCACCAAAGCTGACAGGAAACCACACTGGCAAAAAACCAGGAAGTTCATCAATTTATACGTTCTTCAGTGCCTGTGTTCGCCCCCTACTGGCCTACGGCTGAATCACAGGCATTCAGACAAAATTCTCATCTACTGTTCTCACAACGTTTTATTATGTGTTGTTATAATTCGGACATGTAACTAATCTATATCAATCAAAACATAATAGATTAAACATTGTCAACATTACAAAAAGGAAAACCTAAAAATACAATGTTGTGCTTTTAACATCAGTACTAACCTCTAATAACTATAAATTTCTTCAAAAGGTCAAATTTTCCTTAAGTTTCACTTTCACTCATGTTGAACTTTTGCGAACTCCTCCCAGGGATTTTGACCTATCTGCTTCAAACTTGGTCAGTTTTTGAAATGTAAAAAAAACCCACTGAGACAAACATCTTCATCACTATATTTTGGACCTTTTCAATTWTTCGGGTGCATTGGAGCAAAACTAAACACTAATGAAATCCTGTTTGTAATGCTAGCACTGCCTGAAGACTTTTTTTGACTTAACACTTGAAAGCATGGAGAATTAATCTGAACTTTTACAAAAATCTGCTCAGGTGAAATGAAATCAACGTACCTGTCGACCGTCTGCAGACGCCACCTCTGGTTTTCTATATTAGAGGGAAATGGCAAGCCTTGGGAGGAACACAGGTTTTCTGTTGTCATCCTGTCACYGGTTTCATCAGACACCTTTGAGGGCGAGCGTCTCTAATCTATCCATCTGCACCGGCCCACATGGGAAGCACCTGTCAGCGTCGGGTGAGCCAACACAACACAACACAACTCCACGACATCCAAACTCAACAAGCGGCSCTCTGAGCCTCGAGGCCACCTTAATTGAACTGTGTGGATGTCAGGATGCTACTACTGTATGTTAGAGGAGCATCACTGCTGCTCTCATTTCCCTGACTGAGAGGCAGCTCTCAGAGGAGGGAATGCTGACTCAGAGGAAGCTCTCTTTAAATGTCTCATTCATTTTTCAGCACTGGCACATTGCTGCTGTCGCTTATATGAATAAAGTATACCCAGAGACTCTGCTTAAGCTCATTTGGAAACATATATTAATGTTTCATGAGTGAAGTTGTGGCTATGAGCAAGTGACTCTGAGGAGATAGAGCCTTCTCAATTTTCTTTTTTTTTTTTGTCCAAATAAACGACATCACCTTCCACGTTCGACAGAAAGGTTTTTCTGTTTTTCTTAATGCTTTCAGATCAGTTTTAAAGTATCCCATTGTTATAAAAGGCAGCCAAAAAACAACCTTTTTTCTCTGTGAAATGTATTTAAGT